GACAGCCAAACCCATCTGTTCTCTGATTGGATTGTTACATTTGTGATTGACATGACATTGACCAATCAGATGAAAGGAAGAAAAATAGGGTCAAAATTCATTTTTTTTTTTCGCTAAGTCCACACAAATCTTTTTTACGCACACACAAATTCTTTTTACACATACAAGTCTTTTTTACGCACACACAAATCTTTTTTACAAGTACAAAATATTTATGATCACATTTTGAGCCCATAGAGGTCTAGCAGACCCAGAGACACAACTGAAACAAGGCCAAGTTTCGGAGCGTTAACAGCTTGATAGGCGGCTCACAGGACAACATGAAGAAGGTATTATGGAGGAATCAACATTTGAACTCTTTGGTTCTTCACACAGGATCTTTGTACGCCGTGGAGAAGATGAAAAGACGGTTCCACAGTGTGTGGCATCGACTGTCAAACATGGAGGAGGAAGTGTGATGGTCTCGGGCTGTTTGCTGATCCAGGGTCAGTGACTACCACGGCATTCTGCAGTGCCATGCAGTACCCTCTGGTATGCACCTATTTGGTCAGGGGTTCATCCTACAGCAACATAATGACCTAAAACACAAGACCAGGCTGTGCCAAAACTACCTCAGGAAAAAAGAACAAGATGGTGAGCTTGTAAACATGGAGTGTCCAGCACAGTCTCCAGACTTAAACCCCATCAAGCTGGTTTGGGATGAACTGGTCATCCCAAACTGCTGTCATGATTTCCCCAGCTTAAAAACAGAATAGAATACAACAGGCCTTTGGCATCGTTCATGTACAATGCAATCCTAATTTTACATGTGAAATCTAAGCCTAACCCTTATGTTTGAGACAAAACGTACGGAAACACAAACTAAAGATCTAAACACACTCAGCCTGCTGATGGGCCTGATATTAGTTACCCACAGCATTACCATTACTGGATAAAAATGATTAAACACAGATTATAATAAGAGATGATTGATCAGTGTGTAAGATGCAGTGACGTCATCACTGTACACAGAGTGAAGATGGAGGCTACAGATTTGATCCTGATCTGTGACATCATCACTGCCTCCATCCTGATATATTGACGACTGAATGACTGTAAACAAAGCAGCAAACTAACATCAGTCTGGGATTTAGCTTTTCTACAAACATGAACACCTGCAGATTACGTCTCTCCTCTGAGCTTTGACAGATTTTACTTTATGAGTCAGAGTATCAGTCACTTGGTTCAGGTGCAGCAGGAGGGGAGGGTCAGAGAATCTGTTACCATGGCAACTGACTCAGTTGGCTTTAATGGTCTTTCTGGAACAGAAAACTAGTTTTCCTCATCTCGGGGTTAACAAACTCAGATTTTATTGGTTTTACTTTAAGGAACCAGTCAGTCACAGATATGTTGTAAATTCCTGTCATACAGATCCGACCTTTTACTCAATTAGCTGGGGGTTTTTTTTTTTTATCAAATCAATCAGTTTTGTCTTGTGGAAACTTGGCAATCAATAACTGATCAGGACAAAATAAACACAAAACAAATTTTTATTCTGGCA